ATCAAAATAACCTATATGCAATAATGGAGGAAAAGAATAGAAAATAAAAGGAAAATTAATTACAGAAGTAAATATACAGAAGAGTATTTGGATACTAGTCTAAAATACTACCTGACACATTTTTCTTCTGAGAACATTTACTAGGCTAAACTTTACTGTTTAACCTAGTAAATGTTCCACCACTAGATTTATTCCAAAAGTCTAAGGCTTATTGCTCAAGAGAGGAGAAAACAAAAATATTGAAAAAAATCAAAGAGTAAAATTTGTGGCTTTTGGAGGTCTTGAGTAGACAGAGACCATAGTCTTCAAAGCCATTAAAATGTAAGATCTTATCCATCTGAGAGAGAAAATATTTTCAAGATATTCAAAGCTTGGCTTGGAAAACTGAGAGACACAGATTGAAATAAAAGGACATAAAGCATACTCAAGAACAATAAATTACAATAAGGATGTATAATAAGGTTGAATGAGTTCCTATCCAAACAAGTAAAAAGTTTGCAGTGTTGACAAGGAAATACATAGTGGGTTGATGCAAGGGCCAACACCACCCTTCCTCTAGGAGATGAGTTGCCTACTTGATGGGTGGGGTGGAGTGTGGAAATATTTTGTAATAAAACTCAAGGTAGGTCTAGAATTACCACAGCAGAGGAGATTATGTTTAAACTTTCCAGAATGTAGCCATGAATTTGCAAGCCTTGAGAAAGAATTCTGTGTCTCCCACACACACTTGAGTGTAGAGTAGCAATAACTGAAGGAGATGTTTGGGGAGATGAATCCAAGAGTAGGTTAACTGATTGACGCACACTAGTTCAGAGTATTTTTGAGTCACTACTCTCATACCTGAGGGCTCAGAGAGCACTGAGAATGAATCAAAGGACTCAATAGAATCCAAATCTGGAATGAGAGGTTGCCAAGAGTATAAAAAACAACTGGCCACCTATCAAAAATGTGTTCTTGTTTCCATACTGAGAGGTGACATCCCAGCTGGAGCCTACATCTACCAGCTTCTTTAGCATAGGTATGACGATATGTATAGTGATTGCCAATGAAATGTGAACAGAAGTGATTAAAAAGCAGGAGTGCTTTCCCCATACTCTTCCCCTTCTGACTGGAAGAAAAGACTCCAAAATCATGATTCTTGTGTACAGTTTCACAGCCACGGTAAATTTACAAGGAGTACCTAGGATATATTAAATATTGACAGGAAACAGTTATATCAACAAAAAACACCATAATGAACTAAAAGTGGTCTTTGGAATACTGTAGTCTTTCCTTACCTGCAGGGGATACTTCCTAAGGCCCCCAGTGGATAGTTAAAACTACAGATAGTACCAAACTCTATATGTATTATGTTTTTTCCTATACATCTAAGAGATTAATAAAATAATAATAAAATAGAACAATTTTAACAATATACTGTAATAAAAGTTACGTGAATGTGCTCACTTGTTTCAGAGGATCCCTTGCTGTATAGCTTCAATGCTTTCTGGCATGACACGTTGCCATCAGTCAGAACATATTTTCTGTTCAAGTCTTCCATCCACAAATTTAATGTCTTTTCCATCTTAACTAAGCACTTATCATGCATTGTGACTGTAACTTTTGAGTCCAAGGTGCAACAGCAAAACTAGCACAAAATTTTTTTCCCTTCTACACAATTTTATGGATAGAAGGATCAGTCTTACCATAGATCTTAGCAACCTCAGCGTAGGATTTTTTTTTCTTTCCTTGTTAAATTTCCTTATTAGCTTCCATCTTTTCACTTAAAAGAAGCACTTTACAGCTTTTCTTTGGCAAAGTCAAATTGCCAGCAGCACAACTCTTGTGCTTTGGGGCCATTATTAAGTAAAATAAGGATTACTTGAATATAAGCACTGTGATACTGTGACAGTCGATCTGATAAACAAGATGGCTACTTAACGACTAATGGGCAGGGAGGCTATACCGGCATGTAAACTCTGGACAAAGGGCTGATTCACATCCCAGGTTGGACAAGGCAGGAAAGTGTGAAATTTCATCACAGTATTCGGAATAGCACACAATTTAAAATTATGGATTGTTTATTTCTGGAATTTTCTATTTAATATTTTGGGACTGCAATTGACTAAGGTAACTGAAACCATGAAAAATGAAACTGCAAATAAAAGGAGTACTACTGCATTATAAATTTCTGAGGAAAACATAGTAGTGTCCAGGACACTGAGCAAAGTGCTACTATTAAATTGCTTGGCCCTAACTTCTTAATAAAAAGAACCGTTAGCTATTTCCTTTGTCCTGCAGCCCCAAGAATATATTATTGAGATTCTAAGGGCACTATGAACCAAGAAAGTTTGGGAATCTCTGCCTTACGGAATGTTGAAACCACAGGATGAAAGGAGGCTGGGTTCCAAATTTACTACATGCAGGAAAACCATCTATCACTTAAGAACTCCAACACTGAACTGATATATGAGCCAGAAATAAACTTCTATTGCATTAACCCACTGAACTTTTGGAGTTTAGTTGTCATAATAGCTAGTGAGGACTTATAAGAACTTTAATATCATAACTTGTGGCCCAACATTTGGATTTCGCAGCTTGAGCTCTGAACTGCTTACAAGACATAATTTTCTCCTTTTGGCCTCCATAACTACCTGCAGGGCAAGCAGCTCCCCTGTTCTGATTGTACTGTTTGATAAATCGTACCCCATGCAATAGAGAAGCAATACTGCCTGTACTGGAACTGCTCCACCAAAAACCTTTGTTCTGTGAACCAAAACCAAAACTAGGACATTGATAAATGCTTAAACATATTTTATCTATCATTCTTATCATTGAAAGGTCAGTTGCTCCCACAAATCAGAAAATTAATGGTGTAAGTTTATAAGCTTATTTCCTTAGCAACCCTTCTCCTTTTAAAAGCTGTGTTCTTCCCCTCCGCCCGAACCTCGGAGTGTGTCTTCGATTCATACCCAGGGCTACGTTCTCTGATTCGAAGTCGTATATGAATAAAACTCTTTTAATTTCTTTTGGAGTTTTTGTTAACACTAATGTTACCCTATGACACAGAAATGTGCAGGAATCTAGACCTGAAGCCAAGAGCCGCAGATGTCAACAGCCACAGATGTTCTGCCCACCACAATGAAGACCAGAAGAGATAAACTACATACTAGTGGAGGCGACCAAGCCAAGAGGATGTCAGGGATATCTTTTTTTTCCAATACCAGGTCAATGCATAAGCCCCCTGAAACTAACATCAACCTCAAGGAAAGAGGGGCAGGATAAGGAGCAGGCAAAGAATGCTAAGAATTTAGCCCAGATGAGACTGAGTAACCTTAAATTTGGCACTCTAAACTTTCTACCACAAGTGGATAAGTGTTTGAATGCTAAGTTAATTATACCTTTTGGAAAAGAAACAAATTTACATTATATACATTTCATTTTGTAACTGTAAAATTTTGAATCCACTCTATATATGTTACAGCAAGGAAAGAAGGATAGAGTCCACTGTCTCTGTTTATACAACTGGTCATCCAGCTATAGATATTTATGACTTCTCCATTTTTTTGTAATGTTCCCTTTGCTTTGGACCAGCATTTCAGCTTGTTGGGGTCCTTTGCCCATTGGAATGTAGAGCCTGAATCCCTGTTGGTTCTGCCTAGGTGAGGTGACAGCACTTTTGTTAACCATTTAAGGACATGGTGACAAAGGACTCCCCTGAGCTCTTTCTACTGCTTGGAGCAGTGTTGATTGCATTCAATAGTCAGGCTCAGTCACTCTAACCAATACCATAATCCTATTCCTGCCTCTACTTCCCACCCACCCCCCGACCCCTGCCAGAGGAATCCAATAAAGACCAGGCAGCAATTTCAAATTCCAATTCAGTGAAACTGTTAATGTGTCTCTTGGTAGAAGCATAACTCCTCCCCTGCTCACTGAAACTTCTAAACCAGAATGCAAGCTCTGTGAGGGCAGGGGTTTTGTCCATCTTTTTTACTGCTCTATGCCTGAAACATAGAAGTCAATAAACACATGATGATTAAATAATAGATGAATGAGTGTCGTGTAGCTCACATTAGGCATTCTTATGTACAGGTGGAAGAGGGTAGCATGCCTAAAATATTTGGGGTAGAACAACTTCCTTGGATGTCCTAATGTAGTTCTCTTCCCAACATGGCACAACTAAAATGTTCATAATTTTTCTTCACTTTTATTTATATTCTAACTTAAAAAAAATGCAAATTTTACAATGTCCTAATTCCTTGATTTATTAGATAATACTATCATCCAGGTACTGTGATAGGTGCTGTTACCAAACAAAATTATGACTCAGGGCTTGTGTTTAACGATTTGCAGAGATTTGATGCAATTGTTCTGTATCTTTTCTAACAATTACAAATGTATTTCCCTCTCTAGGAAAGGTAACTCTTGTCCTCCCTTCACATTTCCCCTTAAGACTTGTGTTAAGTTTGGAAGAAGGACTGAGAGAAGAGTGGGTGTTTAGGACCCCAGCCATGTGCTGGCTTGTCCAGTCCTGGGTTCCCTCATTGTACCTTCAGCAAAGCTCTGTAACAGCACTAACAGCAACTGCTACGTACCTGTGTATTTATTATGGCTTTGTCCCTTCTTGCCTATGGTAGGGTATGCTCTTGTGTTTATAAACTCACTGGTACCTGGCTCACAAGATGGGCTTAATAAATGCTTATTGAATGAATAAAATGCCTTTTGCCTACTTCACAATGTCGCCTAGGGCACCCCTCTGCCAACTTCACAATGTCACCCAAGGCATAGTTTTGCCTACTTCACAATGTCATTTTCAACTGACCCTGCACAGAAATGGGGACCTCACAGGGGCTCAGGGATATATCTAGTTTCAGCCCTGTCTGAATCGCTCTCCAGTGGTGGCTCCAGCCAATGAAGAGAAAAGCAAAGAATCAAAATTCTTGAGCTGCAGCAAATGGATTTAGGTTAAACAGCCTGGGGATGGAGGAGCACTAATACCTGAGGAATATGGACCTGTGAAGACCTCTCCAGAATGACAAAGAATCAGAGCTGCGTGTAGGCAGGGGCATGCATTTCCGCATTGCTCAGGGTGCCTCGTCCAGGCTGCTACAGAGGAGTGGCGGGCCCTGGAGACAGGCTAGCGGTGTCGGCGTGAACTAATTCGTTCAAGCCTTGGGCTGCAGAACTGCCCAGAAGAGTGCCGAGAAGGTGGCGCGTAACTTCGGCAGATCCCAGAAGTGCAGCTAGGAAACTTGCCCAGCCAGCCAGGCCCATAGGGTGCTAGAGGGTCAGGAAGGACCCGCCTTTCCTAGACCGTGGCCCAACAGATCCACGTGAGGCTTCCTCGCCACCAAAAGCCCCAAACAAGCAGGGCTAATGAAAGAGGAAAGTTAAGGACGTCCCAAGCTCTGAGACGCGGCGCCCCGCTGCCGGCGCAAGAGCTGCTCTTCCAACAGCTGCGCTTGCAGTCGCCTTGTCCAGCCGAGCGGAGGTCGCTGCCGCTGAGTGATGTCCCGCCGCAGCCTGGACGGGCGCCTCCTCGGGCTGCCCGCGACGTCGGCCCCGCCGCTGCCCCCCAAGTTGCTGCTGTTGCTGCTGCTGTCGGCCGCCGCGGTGCCACCGAGCCTGGCAGGTGAGCAGGGCGCGCCCCGGGGATTGGCCCGGCGCCCGGCGCCCGCCCGCGCCCGCTGAGCCCGCCGCGGCTCGGTGCGCTCCCGCAGAGCCCTGGGTCCGGCTAAGTTTACTTGCAGCGGTGTCCGGGTTCTGGGTGGGCGCCAAGGAACGCGCTTCTGCGGGGTGACTGGCCTGGCTCGCTGCAGCCCTGCTGTGGCTCGGGGACGACCCCTGAGAAGGGCATGGTGTGCTCCTGCGAACTTAAAAGTGTTGGCCACAAATCTTGGCAGACAGATCGGTTCGCTCCTGCACGACTCTCGGCTTGCCGAGCCTCGGCTGGTCCTCAAAGCGCCAGCCAAAGGACGTCTAAATATATTTATTCACATCATAGGGAGGTATGATTCTGGGCTGTCTTTACGTTTCCCTTAACTGTCAATGACTGGTTTAAAATGGTAAGTACTGCAAACTGGTATTGTCAGCTTGATATGTGCCAGACAGTGTGCTAAACTTTAGCAGCTAAAGGGATTTATATTTTTTCATATGATGCTTATCATAATTCTAAATAAGATCATTATCCCCATTCTACAGATGAGAAAATTTTGAGAGAAATTCAGTAATTTGCGTAAAGATGCCTAGCAAATGAAGGCAGAGCTGAAATGCTGAAGAGCATTTACTTAACTATCCAGCTCTTAGTAGAACAGTTTTTTATTTCCTACACTTGTCTGTACTCTTTGGAAACAAAACAAAACAAGTACAACCAAAAACCTTTAGATTTGTCATTTTCATTCCCAATGACTAAAATCAATATTAACTAAATAAACTTGAAAGACTTCAAAAGTCATATTAAAAGAGGATTAACTTTGTTTTATTTCACAATCCATTTTCTGGGCTGGCCTTGTGTAAGAATAGGGAGGCGTTTAGGAGAGCACTACCCCTTTCCAGATGAGTGTACTGATTCTTGTTAGGTCACCTTCCATCGACAGGTGTGTGTAGTTACCAGATTTCAAGACCTTGTCTTTCACAACTTGCCCACTTATTACTATTAAATTTTTCCAGTCTTTTAAGCTGCCTGGGCTTTTGGGATCAGATGTGATCCCCTCCCCCACCCCCAATCTCGATTTACCAGCACATTCTGTTCCTTCCCTGGACTAAGGAGATGGCACTGGTGCCACCTTTTAGCCCAAGGAGACCATTCATTCAGACATACCTGGGATAAGCTGGAGTGACCCAGAAATGGAAAGGAATTTAGTGTCTGGAATGCTGACTAAAACTTTTCTCCTCTTTCTGTTCTTCTTTTGAATTGCTTGGATAGTTTTTAAATGTTTCTGTAGATGGAGGAGGCAGCTTGAGGAGTGAGAAGGAGACATTGTTTTTCTGTAGATGAAACATTGTTTAGTCAAGAAAATAGCACCTAGCAAGAAACTGCTTCTTAAACTGAGTTCCTCCAAATAATAAATAAGATGCCTCCATGTAGGGTGGGTGGGGAGTCAAGGCAGAGAGTGAGGGCATTTCTGCTACAAGCGATCCTGACAGCACTATGCCCTGCAATCTGGAAAGACTTTTTATCATGGCTGGTGATGTCCACGTTGACAGTTTCAAAAGATATGATCTCTATTTATTTTATTCTGCACACATTTTGTTCTGCACACTGTTTTCCAGTGCAGCTTTTTGGAGCTTTGTCTTACTGTTCTACTAGACTGCCAACAACTGAAAACAGAGAACAGGATCTTTGCATTTCGTGTTTTCTCTGAAGTGCTCAGCTCAGTACTCTGAATTTAGCAATTATCCAATAAACACTAAAGAGATTGCATTTTCATCCCCCTGGTTGAATTTTACATTCACTAATATGCACCTATTTACCCACGAATAACTTCTTTAATTTTCAAAGATTTGTACTTTTATTATTCTAGAAATCGGCAAACAATTACATGTTCATCCTAACCATATCTTTCAAACTCTTATAGATTTCAGATGTCTAATAGCATCGCCTTTATCTTTCTAGACTGAAAAGCCCCGTGTTTATTTTTGGAATGTCTTGTATAATTTTTCTAAGCCTTATGTATAGTGAAGTCAGGTTGTCACTAGGGAAAGGATGGGTTGGTTGCCAAGAGACTCATAAGATGGCATGAGCCTTGGTAAAACTGGTTTCAGATCTGGCCTTCAGACTTGCAGGACCAGACTCCAGAAATTCATTCTTCCCAGTGCTCCAATGCTGATCGGATACAAGGGAAGCTGATTCGCCCTGACAAACACACAGATCTACTCACCACAGTTCCAATTGTTAATTTTTAGCAGACTAGATATTTGTGTAGCCTGCTCCAGGCATACTCGTGTTATCAAACTACATGGGATAGACATTATGAGGATTCTCAGGATGGAGGTCTGATTCATCTGCCCCCCAGCAGGACTCGACACTTCAATCAGCCCATGGGTGCACCTCCACTGATAGCGCTCATCTGACACAGCTGGCCCCCGACTCTGGGACACTGCCTCTTCCAGACTTCCATGGCTCACCAGTGCTTACTTGAGACTAATAGATTGCCTCCCTAGATAGGCTAATATCTTTATGTGGTTGTCGAGGAGTTTACTGTCCTACAAGTACTTCAGTTTCCTTAAGGTGACTTGGCAGACCTTTAGCTGAAGCTAATCTCAATCAATCCTTTGACTCTGAGGCCATTCTTATTTCCAAATTCACTTGAGGTGGTTGCTCCATATGTTCATTCTATGGTTGCTCTTCATTCTTGGAAGTATAGTGTTAGAAGGTAGTATGGAATTCCAGAAACCAACCTTGGAGCCAGACTGCCTATACATGAATTCTAGCTTCAACACTTCCTATGTGACCTTCAGTAAGTTATCTAATCTCTCTATGCCTCGATTTCCTTATCTGTAAAATAGGTATTACAATAGTATCTGTCTCATCAAGTAGTTGTGAGGAACAGTGCCTGGCACACAGTAGGAGCTATATACAGTCATGCACTTCATAATGACATTTCAGTCAATGACAGACCACCTATACATTGGTGATCCCATAAGATTACGATGGAGCTGAAAAAGTCCTATTGCCTAGTGATATAGTAGCCATCATAACCTCATAGCACAACACATTACACAGATACTTACTATTGTGTTACAGTTGTCTACACTATTTAGTATAGTAACATGTTGTACAGGTTGATAGCCTAGGAGCTATGGAGGAACAGAATTTGTCACCCCAAGATATGTCTATTTGACATAAGGGTTACTTTGGGTTTGCTAATTTTAAGAAATAGCAGACATGGGAGTTCCGAAATCAAGTAGAAGTTATGTTCTCCAAAAGACATTTACATTTGTAAGGGAAGTCTCCATCTGTAAAAGTGTCTCTCTCACTGTACCAGGAAGAGGGGGAAGACCTTATCTCTAGAAACTTTTATCAATGCAGAAGGCAATGACTTAAATCTGCATAATGCCCTACCTTTGTTTACTGTGCTTTTCCTGGTAGCTTTCCATAACTGACTCCTCTGCCTCCAACATCATCATTTGTCTTCAGCCGAAGATTTAAGATGGTGGCTTCAGCCGTTTGGGCAAGTTACTTGGTCTTCCTGGGTCTGTTCCATGTATATAGGAAGCATACATTTTATTAGACTTTTGTTTGTTTTCCTCCTGTTAATCTGTCTTTTGTTTCTGGTATGTCTCAGTCAAGAACCCAGAAGGGTAGAGAGAAATTTTTTTTTCCTCCCCTGCAGAGTAATAGGTTATATTACATAGCGTAGGTGTATATTTGGCTACACCTTCTTTGTGTAAGTGCACTCTACAATGTTCATGCAGTGATGCATTTGCTTAATGGTGGATTTCTCGGAATGTATCCCCATCGTTAAGCGGTGCATGACTGCAATTGTATAGCTGTTATTACCTGCCATTGGAGTGATTTTTCTCTGAAAAGGCATCATGGATCTCTTGATAAGACTACCAGGATTGCAGATGATCATCTATGTACTGTGAAGTGATAACTCGTTATCAAGTAGTGTTTTTCTTTAATTATGGCCCAACATTTTGGGGACTTAGGGTACACATATTAAACAGCTGTTTCAGAAAACAATGAAGTGTCTTTGATTGCTTTTTTGAGTTATAACTGACTGAAATCACCTCGATTACTTTTCCTAAGTGCAATTTCATTAACCATGACTGCTTCAGAACTTCACAACTCTTTCCTGTCTTTCTGAGCCTCACTAAATCTTCCTGCAGCTCATCCCATTGTCTTGGTGTTTCAGACCCAAAAGAAGTCAGTGCTGTTTGTAAGCAAGAACATTTTCTTGTGCTCTCCTTATATCAGTTTGTTTATAAAAATGTTTTGCAAGATAAATTCAAGAACAACTTCTGGGAGAAGTGCTCATTCATCTCTATTATTAAACTTCATTTCTCGGTCCTTCTGGAAATGTGAATCTGATAGCAAAGATTAAAAACTTTCTCCAGAAGAAAACTAAAGAGACTTCTTCTTCAGTCTTTAAATTGAGGTAGAACATTTTTAAAAACTTTTTCATGGTGATTTACTTTCATAATATGTAAACTATGTACTTCATCTTGGATCTTTGTTCTGACATGCAGAAGAGATATTTTTGTTTTCAAAATTCTTTAAGCATTATTTTTACTTTTGTTACTTGCTATCTTTTGTCGGATTCCAAATTATAAAACATTACCTATTGAGATAACAAATGAGAAAGTGGCACCAATAATAGAATTAATCTCAAAGGATTTATTAAAAGGTTCAACATTTTACGTTTTTTTAAATGTATTTAAGCTTCATTTTCTTTTCTTCTTCTTTTTTTTTAATAGAGTAGGTTCTAGTTGCTCCTACCTAATATTTTATGACCTTTCGAAAGTTTACCTTTAAGATATGGCTGAAAAATATTTTAATAATGTTTTTATATAGTTTCCTTGTACTATTGCAAAACAGGAATTTACTCAATGTGGTAAAAAGTGGAACTAATAGAAGAAGTAGGGAAATTATGAAGAAACTTTAGTCTAAGATTTGAAACTCTGCAC